TTAAAGTTGTCATTGTTGGTTAGCTGGCCCGAGCCAGGTTCAAACCCACCAACTTCAGTGTATGTGGCTGGTGCTGTAACAACTGTGCTACAGGCACCGAGCCTCCTTCCACTTTTCATCTTTCCTTCCCATCCTTTCATCCTTGTCTTCCTTCCACACCTTCTATGAGCTCCCCAGGGACTATCTAACAACAGCATTGTCTGACCAGAGGTTCTCCCCCAGGTAGGAGTCTGGCCCTCACCTGCAATGCACAATGGGTGGGCCCCCCTCCATGGCCTCCTGGTCCAGCCACTGCCGGAGCATCTTCCAGAAGGCCAACAAGGGGTCTGGGGAATGAGGGACACCATGATCTGGCCAGGCCAGGTAATGGAATTGACGCACGGATAACATCTTCTGCTCCTCCACCTGGAAGGGAGAGGGAGAACACTAGGGGAGGACTGTGGGGAGGGCCATTGAGGGAAGAGGGAGGGACTTACCTGGAAGACCTGCAGATCCCGCACTGCCCATGTCTTTGTCACCTGCTCACCCATCAGGGTTACTCTCAGGTGTCCATGGATGCAGGGTTGAGCATCCAGGGGCCAATAATGCTCACACTTCACCTGGGGAAGGATGAGGGCTCATCTGTTCAAATTCCCCCTGTCATGGCAAGACCCATGGGCCACCAGGCATAGATCTAGCCAGGACGACTCTCCACCCCAATGTCAGTGGGATCCACTTCAAGGTTCATGTGTGGAGCAGCAGATGGCCTTGGGGTGGGAGGGGTCCACATTGAAGATGTTTGGGGTCATACTGGAGTGACCAGTGAGGTCTGCATAGAAATCTACATTGGACCAGTGTCTGCCACAAGGTCACAGGCTAGAGCTCAGAGTTCAGCACCCAGGACTCTCTTCTCACCTGGCCTGACTCCATGCAATTAGTCAGCATAACCAGGGTATGGCTCTGCTGTTCCCATACCAGGCGCCAGAAGTCACCCACGGTGTGTGGCAGGGGACCCTGGGTTGCAATGAACTCCTGGGGGCTCCAGAGACCCTAATTGAGGAAAGCAGGCATGACAAGGGGGTCTTGGGCAGCCTGCCTTGACCCTTAGATCTTCAGGTTCTCTGGGTACCCTCTGGCCCCAACCACCACCTTACAGGCATGAAGCTGGCGTTGATGTAGTCAGAGCCTGGCTGCCCGTGGAGGGGCTTCAGGGGCACCCGGGACCAGTCGTCTGGGAAAGGCCAGCATGAGTGATGCCGAGAAGCCAGTGAGAGACAGAGAGGCAGAGATAAGTTGGAGACCCAGGGACAGAGGTTACGCCCAGATGCAGAGAGACACTGGGAGCCATGCAAGGATGGAGGGGGGTGGAGGGACCTTGGCTGGGGGAGGCAGGAAGCCTCTCAAGGGACTCACAGGGGCAGAGTCTCTCACAGGGGGTCAGGGAAGAGGACTGGATTGAGGTGCATCTTAGGGCGGGGCTGAGGATGAGGGCAGTGGGAGCCTGACACTCACAGGGCAGAACGTTTCTGTAGCGGTTCTTGGCACTGTTCCCTGGAGCCGAGGCCACCATCTGAGACTGGCCATGGCCCGCCAGGGCCAGTTGCTGGGGGCAGAGGCAGAGAGGGGTGCATGGTGTTGGATTTTCTCTACCTCCCCTGGAGGAGACCCTGAACCCCTTGCCTTCTCCAGCATCATCCCTTGTTTATCCTTTGCACCCTGGGGTTCTGTAGCATCCATAAACAACATAGCTGTGCCACCCACCCTGCAGGTTATCTGAGAGGGTTTAGGGAACCATGGAGTCTTCTTCAGGCAAATGAGAGGGCAGCATCAGGGAAAATAGATGTTCACAGGGGTTGAGGGAGGTTATTTTAGCACTGACACATCGTTATTTGAAGATTTCAAGGAGTTCAAAGATAACCATGCCTGACAGTTTCTGCTTAACAGAATGAGGTATGTGTTGCTTCTTTTGCTTAAACACAAAGGGTATAGGAAGATCTAGGGTGTGGTCTGGGCCATACTCAGCTGAGCTCAGCCTCTCTGTCCTCACCCACCTGGTACTCCTCTGCAAAGCCATAATTGCTGTCTTTCTCATTCCTCCTGACGTGGTCAGCAAAGTCTTTGGCCAGGATGTCCCCAGGGAAACTGTGGATTGGGGTGGTGGGGGAGAAAATGTTTCAACCTTGAATCCGGTGCTCTTGGGATAAAATAAAAACTGTTTTTGATCTATCAATGACACTCCTGGCTATGTGACCAAAGAAATGACAGCAAGGACTGGGAGAGTTACTTGTGCTCATATTCATAGCAGCAGCATCCGTGATAGCCAGAAGGTGGAAGCAACCTAAGTATCCACACATGCTGCCACACAGATGAACCTTGAGGATGTTATGCTAAGTGGAATAAGCCAGTCACAAAAAGATGAATAATGCATGATTCTATTCATGGGGGTACCTGGAGTTGTCAGATTCAGAGAGACAGAGAATAGAACGGTGGGTGCCAAGAGCTCCGTGGGTGGATTCACTGATCCTGCCCTCTGACCTCTCTTACGACCAGTAAACATCCTGACTTGACCAGATAGCAATTCGTCCAGGTGCTTCCCCAACCCTTCTGCTCACCTGAAGCCCGGATCCTGGGAGGCTGCTTTCTCTTGGCTCCTCCTATTCCTGGGGAAAGGACACAGGGATGAAAGGCTCAAGGAGTAAAGCTGGAACCAGGGACCCTTCTGGTTCTGCCCTGCCCTTCACCCTCCAGGTCCCGTGTTGAGTCTCACCTTCTCCTTAGGTAGAAAACCAGCAGACCCACAAGGATGAGCAGCAGGAGGACGCCCACAATGGCTCCAGCAGTGACCCCTGCAGGGAGAAAGCATTTGGGAGCCTCAGCCCAGGTCTTTTTTTGGAGGGTTAGGGGGGCAGAGCCTTAAGCTATCACCCTGGGTAGAGTACTGTGACATCACAGCTCACAGCAACCTCCAACTCTGGGCTTAAGCGATTCTCTTGCCTCAACCTCCCGAATAGCTGGGACTACAGACACCCACCACAACACCCGGCTATTTCTTGGTCGTAGTTGTCATTGTTTGGCAGGCCCAGGCTGGATTCAAACCCACCAGCTCTAGTGTACATGGCTGGCGCCTTAGCCCCTTGAGCTACAGGCACAGAGCCACAGCCCAGATCTTATCTACCAGTCTTCCATCTCCATCCCCACCTAGCACTGTGATCAGAGCCTACAGGGCAGATGCTGCGGCTGGGAGGAAAAAGACAAACCCTCTAGATAAAACGTCATTTTCCACTCAGCCCTTCCTCTTCCTCTCTCATTTCCCCAGGAGCCCAGTCCAAATACACTTGACCCCTGAACAACACAGGGTTGAATGGCACAGGTACACTTATATATGGATTTTCTTCCTCTGCCACACCGAGACAGCAAGACCAATCCTTCATCTTCCTCCTCCTCCTTCTAAGCCTACTCAACACGAAGATGGGGACAAAGACCTTTATGGTGATCCACTTCCCCCTAATGAATGGTAAATATACTTTCTCTTCCTTATGATTTTTTTTTTTTTGAGACAGAGTATCACTTTGTCACCCTCAGTAGAGTGATGTGGCATCATAGCTCCCAACAACCTCCAACTCTTGGCTCAAGCAATTCTCTTGCCTCAGCCTCCCACGGAGCTAGGACTATACGCGCCCACCACAATGCCCAGCTATTTTTAGAGACAGGGTCTCTCTCTTGCTCAGGCTGATCTCAAACCTGTGAGCTTAGGGCAATCCACCCACCTCAGCCTCCCAGAGTGCTAAGATTATGGGTGTGAGCCACCAACCATGCCCAGCCCCTTATGATTTTCTTTTTCTCTCTTTCTTTCTTTTTCTTTTCTTTCTTTTTTTTTTTTTTTTTTTTGTAGAGACAGAGTCTCACTTTATTGCCCTCGGTAGAGTGCTGTGGCATCACACAGCTCACAGCAACCTCCAACTCCTGGGCTTAAGCAATTCTCTTGCCTCAGCCTCCCAAGCTACAGGCTTGGACTACAGGCGCCCACCACAACACCCAGCTATTTTTTGGTTGCTGTTACAGTTTGGCTGGGGCTGGGTTTGAACCCACCACCCTCGGTATATGGGGCCGGCACCCTACCCACTGAACCACAGGTGCCGCCCATGATTTTCTTAGTAACATTTTTTTCTCTAGCTTAAGTTATTATAAGAATACATAATAGTGGGGCAGCGCCTGTGGCTCAAGGAGTGGGGTGCCAGCCCCATATGGCAGAGGTGGTGGGTTCCAACCTCGCCTCTGGCCAAAAACTGCAAAAAATAAGTAAAAAATAAAAAAAAATTAAAAAAAAAAGAGTACATAATAGTATACATATAAAATATGTATTATTCGACAATTTAAGTTTTGTGTAAAGCTTCTAGTCAACAGTAGGCTATAACAGTTCCATTTTGGGGGAGTCAAAACTGATACACAGATATTTGACTGTATAGGGGAACTGTTGTTCAAAGGTCAACTGTACATCATTTTCACACATGAACTGTTTGTTAAAAGGTGACTCTCCCCTTCCTTGGACTAGACCAGTGGTTCTCAACAAGGATTATTTTGCTCTCAGGGGACCCTGGGCAATGTCTGGAGACATTTTTAGTTACCACAACTTTGGGGTGAGGCACTATTGGCATCTACCAGGTGGAGGCCAGGGTGATACTCGATATCCTACAATGTACAGGACAGCCGTTCGTGACAAAGGGGGATATAACCCCAAATATCTATAGTGCCAAGATTGAGGTAGCACTTTGCTTGTTGAGAAACCACTTCCTGGCACTGACAGCTTCTGTTCTCTCTAGAGTTGAGGCTTCATCTTCTATAGGTCCTGTCTGCTGAGGGAAGGATTCCCCAGCAGTAGAGCCTACTGAGGTCTAGGGTACCTGAGGTCTGGGCTGATCCCAGGCTGTAATGGGCACAATTCTCCCAGCATCAGTCCTGGGTAGATGAAGTTTTGGGTCCCCAAGCTGCCACTCCTCAATAGTTCTGGTTACTAGGAGAGCCTGCTTGTCACCTGGCTCCAGTAGAATGTCACAGCCTATAGGGAAGACTCCATTCCCTTGTGGACTTGGCCCCACAGAATTTGACTAGAGTACCTGTCTTCCCAGGGACCCTTGTTGCTGGGGGAAAGACCATCTCAGGCAATGGGATCAAGTAAAGTATCTATTTATCACTGCACCAACCTCCCATTTCTCTCCAGGTTAGAGACCCAGTCTTAGAGGAAGCCTTATTCCTGGGATGGGGCAAAGTAAGGTTATAGCCATGGCCTTGGTACATGGTAGGAACTTTGCAAAATCTATGTTTTATACTTCTTCAAGTACCCATAGATAACTGCAAAATGATGTAGTCACATTGGGAAAAAATCTTGGCAGTTGAGCATAGAGTTACCATATGACCCATTAATCCCAAAAGAAACAAAAACATGTGTCCACACAATACTTATACTCAAATGTTCGTGGTAATATTACTCGTAACAGGCAAATGCTGGAAGCAACTCAACTGATCAGTTACCTGATGAATGGATAAATAAAATGTGGTAGCTCCATACACAGGATATTGTCACACAATAAAAAGGAACGAAGTACTGATTCATGCTACCGCTTGGATGAACCTTAAAAACATCATGTTCACAGAAAATGGCCAGTCACAGAGGACCACGTGATGTGTGATTACACATTTATGAAATACCCAGAGTAGGCTAATCTTTAGAAATGGAAAGTAGACTAGACATAGGGAGTACAGAGGGTGCTGGCAAAGGGGAATGAATTTTCCATTTGGAGTATTGATTTTACACTGTGGATATACTGAAAGTCACAGAATTGCACCTTTAGGTGGGTGAATTGCATGTTATGAGAACTGTATCTCAATAAAGCTATTTTAAAGGAAACAAGAAACAAAAGAATCTCACTGATTCCCTCACATGTTCACCTGTGCTTTCTGTATGGCAGGTCATCAGAGCAGATGGGGCCCTCATTCCGTCCCACACGGTGGTGACAGTGGCTGGGTAGGACTTAGCTGGCCCAAGGCCCAACACAGGCACGTCCCTTTCACATGAAGAGCTGTCCCACGAGTCTTGCTGCCTTCCCACCTCCAATTCAAAGGCCTCATAGCCTCCCGAGGGGCAGGACCAAGTAAGGATGACCCCATAGCCCCCTGAGGTGCTGGTGCAAGAGGTGATGAGGACCGACTCTGGGGCTGGGTGAAGGGAACAAGAAGAGTCAGTAGGAACCATCCAAGGGGTCTTCTCACCACCCTCCACCCACCACCAGCACTGGGCACACCAGTCCTCTGGGACTAGCCAGGCCTTTCTACCTCAAACCAAAATACTTCCCCTTCCCCCATTTTCTGCTCTCCCCAAATGAACACAAGTAGATCCCTAATTCCCATGAGCCATTGGGAGCTCCACAGTACTGTAGCTTATAAGGTCCCGGCCCCATGGCTTGATGGAATTTATCATCCATTCCTCTCCCATGCCTTCCAAGAAGGACTCACCCACAACAAGATCACCAGGTAGAGGGAGGGTAGAGCATCTAACCTGTGGATGCCTGGAGACTCTGTGTGGAACTGGCTGCGCCCTTTCTCTCTGCCCACACGCTGAAGTTGTACAGAGTCCCTGGCTGGAGGGCCTCCACCTTGTACCAGGTCTCATTGGTCCTGCTGGTCTGGTTGGCCCAATCTCCTTGGCAATCTTGCTCCCTTTGGGGATGTCCCCTGCAGGCCCACTGTACCCAGTATACGTATTGCTGAGCGTGGGGGCCTGCAGGGACCTTCCACCACAGGGTGATGGAGTTGTTGGTCTGAGTTTTGTTCTGCAGGTCCATGACCTTATTGGGAGCTGAGAAGTGAGGGGAGAAGTTTGAGAGGGGGAGGATATATCCTAAAAACCCTCTTCCCTGAGCCTGTTCACCTGCCCGTCACATCACAGCTGAGGTGCCCATTACCCATGGCTATGGTGAACCATCTAGGAGAGTGAACCACAAAAAAGAGCCTAGAGACCCAAGGATGACCATAATCTCTTGGATCTACTCTGTCCCCTGGCTACAGCCCTGCGTCCTGCCCTCTTACCTTTTGGTTCTCCCCAGTGGATCTGAGTCCCCAGAAACTATAACTCCCATCAGCCCTTGGACTGTTGGGTCACTGCACCTTATGAAGTCAAGGTTCTATGCCTGATGGGATTTGTAGTCCATTACCTCACAGCCCTAAAGATCTGACCTCTGTATTATTCCACTAACAGCCCTGTCAGGATTCTTTCTCACTCTTAGACACATCATGTTTCTAGAGGGAGCTGCCTGTTTAGTTATTTTTATCCCAAATGACCAAGGGTTAAGGAGTTCCAGCTTCCACCATCTGTGCAACCCTAGTTTCTGGAGTAGTTTTGATTCTTCTCACACTTGCGACCCACTGTGTGCAAGCAAGAGGCAGGACTCTTCTGGATCATCCAGTTCACCAGGATCAGCTGTCAAGTATTATCCATTTGGTGACTTTTTCAGCCCCTGGACACTCAAGGGCTCTCCCTGACCACAAAGAGCCCACTTCTCAAAGGCAGAAAAGACAGACTCCAGAGTTTAGAAAGCCCCGTTGCTGAGGGGTGATGCCCTCCCCACCCCCAAGTTCAAGCACCAGTGAGGTTGGATGAAGTTAATATGCTCTCTTCATCTCCCAAGAAGCTCACAAAGGCCCTTCATCTTTTTCCTTCCCCCATCCAAATAGGGCAGGATCCAGAACCAGACTG